ACACATTGATATTTTATTCAATATTCTGATAACTGAAGGCAATAAATTACCAAAAATTTGTCTTAATTGTTACAAGTTAAGAAGGCTTCATGATCTTATTTTAAAAGTAAATTGTCTAAATAAGTTAAAAACTAAATTTAAATTTTTAGTATATAACAACATCTAAAGACTGCTCTAAAATTGTGCCTATTATTATTTTTGATTTTATTTTATACCCAAATTTTAAATTAAATGAGAGAGCAGAAGAAGTTGAGGTTCTTCAATTAAGTACTAATACAAAATCTACAAAATATCAAATTGCCAATATTTACAATCCTAAAGTGAGATTTTTATTTTGTAATGAAGGAGGGAACAATGGATCGGTTTCATACATTCAAATTGAAAAAATGAAAGAGAATCTCAGAGGATGAAAATTGAAATTTATTTGATTTACTAGACAATAAACATTTAAATAATTATTTTTCATTGGCTTTCGATTAAATTATTTTTGTTTTATTTTTTTGGGTTTCGGTCTTATCAAAAAATATTGGGCGCGGCAAATTAGCGGCAGCTTTGAAGTTCGATAATTCTTTTTTTCATGGTTTCCCGATACTCTAAAAATTTTTTTGATACCAATAAGATTTTAACCCTCATCGAAACAAATTTTATCCGCAGATGCGGGTTCTATTACCCGAGTAACTAACCATAGCCTGGGTTATATGAATAAGGGTTATTCGCAGCTGAGGATTGGTTAATCCCTTCCACGCAAAAAATCTTGTATTAATTGTATTAAATTAATGTCTTTAAAAATTAAATAAAGGGTAATTTTTTAAATAAAAAATTTTATTGCTCAATTCAGGACATATTTTAAGTGTTAATGGGTATTTTTTGAACAATTTCTTTTTAATTTGTTTCTTTGTTTGAAAAAAATATGTCAGCGCAAACTTTATGGCCCTTTTCTTTTTTTATTTTGACTCATTTCTATTAATTTATTACTTTTGTGAGGGTATTAAATAGAAAAATGACCAAAGTAAATCTGCAGGAAATGGATCTATGTATTTGTTTTTGCTTAATATAAAATATTTGATGGTTAATTGTTGATTAAGAGGGTTAATCCACTGATATCTCTTTAAATCCAATAAATCCCTATAAATCCAATTATCCACCATAATCATCAGATCTCCGAATTCCTCTTAATAGCTACAAATCTAACGATATCCCCCTCAATCCCCCGATATACTTTCAAATTCCCTTAATCCTTGAACATCCACATATATCCCTCTAAATACTCAGATATCCCTCCAGATCTATATTAATCCCTACAATCCAATATACCACTTTATCCTTTCAAATTTATATATAAAAATAATTATTTTTTAATAGATTGATTTTTAAATACTCATGGAATGCCGATAAATTTTTAACGGTATTTATCGGTATCGGTTAAGATATACCAAATTTGTCTTCGATATATCTAGGCTAAGGTGGATCGAGGGTATATCCGTTTTTTGAAGACGAAGAACAAAAATCACGCCAATGTTAGCGCACATCCTTAAAAGTTTTTCTTTCTAGGCCAATATATAGAGGAAGGGAGGAGTCAAAACACCCAAATAATTTTTTATATTTAAAGGGCGAAAGAATAAAATGTGAATTTGATCCTTCCTCGCGGTCATTTAAACCTTTTTTTATTTTTTTGTTTGGTCACTCGAAGGGATTATTGAAGTAAGAAGGATTATATGACCTGAGATTTGGCCTGAGAGTGAGGCTATAAACTCTTTCGAATCGCATTAAAATGGGGGAATTCCTGGGGTTTATTATATTTTTATGTCTCCTATTCAGCTGGCATTTTTCTTTATTTTTTATTGCTCATAAATACCTAAATCCAAAAAAAATTTTTATCTATGGGAATTATTTGTATGTTGATAGATCAATCTTCAGTAGTATTTCCATATTTCAACACTGAATTGTTTTTTCATGATTTGAGTTAAAAAAGGCGTCATGATTTGAAGCAATCTCATAAATAATATTTGTGGATGCCAGTGCTTGCGTGATAAATCCTTTAAGCGTTTTTAGCTAATTGTTGAATTTCCAGTTATTTTTATAAATTAATGCTGAATGAACTTTTTTTATTTCTGTTTGTCAAAAAAATTTAATGAAGATTTTTATTCGAAAAAATTTACTTAATACATATTAAATAATTTATTAAAAATTTTATTTAATTAAAACCTTTTTTTTGAAGTCAATGTTTTACACTGACAAATTAGAGTTGAGTGAGGGAATGGAGAGATAGAATATGAGAATTTTTAGGAAAAGTTTTGAAATCAAACTTTTTTGTGAGCATAAATAACTTTAACAAACGCCAAACAAATTTTGCGTTTTTGCGCACATTTAGACCAAAATTAATTTCCAAACATTTTCCCCTCCCATCTTTAAACTTGTGTGTTTTTATTTTTCTTTTTTTTAAATTTAATTTAATCAAACCACAAAACACTTTAAATCTTACAAAATTATATTATCAATTCGTTAAATATATAAATTTCTTTTTCCCCCTCCTCCCCTTTTCTCTCCTCAAACACAACCGGCTATTCTTTTCTTTCCTTTTAATTTTAATATTAACCCATGAGCGCGAACCAAACAAAAATTTTCTTCTTTTCAAATTTATTTTCGATTGCGCGGTTCAAAGAAAAAGAAGAGAGGGAAAGAAAGGATGGGGGAATTATTTGTGGTGATCAACCAATATATATTTATTTCTTCTTTCTTTTAATTATTTTATCACTGATTGATGCGTAAAGTCGCAACGGAAGTTTGTTGCAGAGGAGAGAAGAGAGAGAAAAACAGAAGGTAAAGAGATATAGTGATTGGGGGTGGTTGTCCTTCAAAAAAGAAATTTTTGTTTAGTCTCAAATCTTTTCTTAACATTTATTGTGGGCTACAACCAAACGGGATATTTTTTAATTGTTTTTGTTTAATTTTTAATTTTATTTAATTGCAAAAAATTTATTGATTTTATTTTCTTTCTTGATCAACCTCAAAATTTTTTTTGATTTTCGTCGATTTTTTACCTTCATTTAAATTTTTATTTTAATTTTCACCTTTCTCGCCTTCTCCTTTTCATTTTTAAATTTTCCTTTGAATTTAGATTTTAAACTCCGTCACACCCCTGTAATCCTTTAAAAGGAACGAAAAGGGCTGTAATATTATGTGTTAATTAGAGCCCGGAATTTTGGTACGGGATACTGATAAATACCGTAAAATACCGTCGGTATGGTAGGTATCGTAGGCCCTAATGTTAATGGATATTTTAAATTTTTATTTTTTAATACTTAAATTAAATTTATTTTATAATTTATTATTAAAATTGCTCTTAAACTCTGTTTCAAAATTCTTTTCTATTTTTGGATGCCACTTTAAGGTAGTGGCTAATTTAGTGATTATATCTAGTTCCGTTTTTCGTTTAAAGTTTATGTAATTTTTTCTGTCAAAATTAAGTTTTCTCCCAAAACGGATAAAAGGGCAAATTACTCAAAATTAATTTCATTCTTTAAAATTTCACAAAATAATTAAAAAAAATTTTTTAGTCAATTAAAAGGCAATTTTAGTATTAATTTATTTTTAAAATTTAACTTTAATGAAAACAAAAAAATATTGTAAAAATAAGCAACAAATAATAAAAAAGGGAGATAAAAACAACGTTGTAAGGAAAGGGAGCTGCTAATTTTTAGAGGAGAAAAAAGATTTTTCTAGAATTTTTAAGAATTTTAAATTAATTAAAAACAACAAAAATTATAAAAAAAACATAACGCCAAAATTAAAAAAAAATTTTTAAAATTTTTTCAAACAACCTAAGAAACTCAGAAAAAAATCAACAAAAATCAAAATCCAGACATAACTCCAAAAATTTTTTTTTAATTTAAACAATGCTTCTTATTGACAGCAGCAATATTAAAAATACAAAAAATAAAATTAAATTTAAAAAAATTCCACAAAACTTCTCGGTGCTAAACAAATTTTACTTAATTTTATTTATTTTATTCTCAACTACAATATCAACTACCTCTTCTTCTTCATCATTTTTATCTCATTTTAATTCTCCTTTTTCTTCTTCTCAATTTACAGAAAATTTACAAACTAATTGTATGTTTTTTTAAAGGAGAAGAATTGTTTAAATATGTAGTTTGAGCTAAATTATACTAAAACACCCTTCTTGAACAGAAAAAAATTTGACGTTATAGGCCAACTTTAGTGAAGGTAAGGACCAAGGATGTGCCCTTTCGTCTTTCTTCTTTCGCCGAATTTTCGCCTTTTTTTCGTGTTTCGTCTCTCGCTTTTTAAATTTTGGCACACCATTGGTTAATGTATATACATAGTACATTGAGGATGTCGAACAAGTAAGGTCCGACTCTAAAAATTTAAGAGAGTCATACACTTTAAGAATTTCGTACAATTAAAGAGAGACGTACAATTAGAACCACACCCGTTCAGAACCTCCAATCTTTTCGAATTCAATCCCCCACTATGGTTATACTGAAGACTGGTATATAAAGTAAGCATGTCACAGATTGAGAAAAAATTCGTGTTGGATTTTGGAAAGGGGAAGATATTAAATTAAATTTGAATCATAAATTAATATCAAATTAATCCTTCTCAACATAATTTAAAAATTATTTTTAGTCGTTCCACCAAGATTTAAACAAAATGCTCGAATTAATCAAGTTTATTTGAAATTTTAAAAATTATAAACAATTTTTAAATTTTGTGTAGTTTGCCTATCTTGGGGACAGTATTAAATTTAAGTGCAATGCTGTTGGGAGACCTCAACCTAAAGTGCATTGGTATAGAAATGGAAAATATATGAATTATAGGTTATTTAGTTGTTGTTGTTGATATAAGACGTGGGGGGAGGGAGGGTTTGAAAATTATGGGGAAGGGGGGGGGGTTGAAATTAAAATTTTCTTTCAAAATAAATTTACAATTAAATTCTCAGTTATTTGGCCTCCCATTCACGTTTGAAAGAAAAAGGAATGTCTTTGGAAGTTCATAGAATAGAAGTTAGCGATAGAGTTGGTTAAAAAAATTTTTTGAAAATTTTTAAAAATCTTCAAAATAGGGTAATTGGACATGTCGAGTATGGAATAAAGAAGGATCTGTTAGTAGGTAAATTAAATGGGGGGGGGGGGGGGTCTTAAAATATAATAATATTAAAATTTAAGGAATTACACTTTGCATATTGTTGGTAGGTTATTTTAAATTTTTTTTTTCAAAAATATTTTGCTGTGTATTTCTGCACACTTAATGATTTTTATAAACTTTTTAACAAAAAAAACTTTCTTTTAATAAAAAACACCTTGAATTTATAAGCTTCTTAAAATTTTTTCGGCCACTCGGTGAGATGTGGGAGGGGCAGAGGTGGTAGGAAATAACGAAGATGTCGGAAATCGGAAATGGCTCAAAAGTTGGAACTCGGAAATCAGCCTAAATTTTCGGAAATTGGAATTCCGACCCACCTCTGGGGAGGGAAAGCTTTCAACAAGTACTACCTACCCCATATTTAAAATCCCTTCATTATTAGATACAATTTTTGTTTATGAAGTTAACACAAAAAATACTAACAAAATCTAATCTTCCCACCACACAGATTTTTGTGATTATTTTCTAAACGTCGGAATCCACCCCAGCCGAGTCCCAGAAGAATGCCTCTGTCAATGGGTTGTTCAACACAAAGAATCTTCAAACAAAGCAGCAGAGGACCCTTTATTTCATTTAAGAGCTTTACCCCAATTAAGGGCGGATATTGATTTGAGTGGATTTTTAACTAATTTTACAAAATGCCAAAAATATTATAATGAAGGGAAAATTGAGGAAATTGTAAAATTGAGAACACAACCTAGAATTTTAAATAAACAACAAAAAGAAAATAATCAACAAAATAATAAAAATGATTTTAGGTATTTTTAAATATGTAAATAAATGCGCCCTAAAGTAAACGTTAAAATACTTGATATGATACATTACAAATTAGATTAAATATAGCTAAGAGCATAAATGTAGCTTCATCCACATCGGCAAAACCATGGAAATATTGTTACATAAAGGAGCGAAGCTCTGGCAAATTTTTATAAAGTATACTTAACGAGATACAATACAGACTCATGCCTAAATAACAATTCTTCAAAACTTTTAAGTAAGATTCAGTGGAAGAACCCGTTTTCAATATAATTTATCGGCTGACTCGAATAAAAGGAAATAGGTAGTGTGAGGTGCACTTAAGTCAATACCTTAAGAGGAGTGTTCTCGTTCAGTATGTTAATTTGAAGCTGCTTAATATATTATATTACATTTAAGCGTTCTAAAAATTTAATAGCTATTTCTGTTATTATCACTTACTGGGAATATGTGGACTAAATATTTTTGGGTGTCAGTTTTTTACTGACAAATTGTTTTAAAGTTTAAAGTCAAATGTTCGAGCCTAACCTAGATTTGACTAATTATTTTAACATTGTTTGGTCGTCTAACATTATATGTAAATTGTTTATTTGCTGTGTTTTTTCTAGCCTTAAAAGCACAACCACCACAACTAGCACAACCAACCCTCCAATAACAACTTTTAGTGCCGTGTTGTCCACAACTACCATTCCAAGCACAAAACAACAAAAATTTCGTCCTTCACTTAAAAGTAAGTCTAAAAACTTTTTTTTAGACCCAATCAAGTTCTTTGACTATTTGGCCGAAGGGGAAGTGCCAGAACTTGGGCATCTTTTACCAAATTTGATTTCTGGGTCCTCCCTAGCTTTTTTGAGAAGAGAATTACCTTCAAAATGGCATTCGAGTTTAGATTTGTCGGCAAAAATTGAATTATCTAAACAATTGTTGAAAGGAATGAAGGAAGAAAACTTTCAAAAAAAGGAAGAAAAAGTAGTGGAAGAGGAAGAGGATGAAGAAGAATCGGAAGAGGATGAAGAGGAGGAGGAGGAAGAGGATGAAAGGAAGGAGAGTACAACAAAGGGATGGACGGATAAAAAAAGTAAAATGAGTGCCTCGTTGGTTAACAAACAACGTTTTCAGTTACCTCAGAGAGGTACTCTTTTAATTAATGTGGAATTCATGATATCCATCCTTAGAGATATGATGTGAAAATTTGTGGAGTTCAAAGTTCTTTTTAGATTTAGGGAATATTTCAATTATTGAACGTAGAACCGGATACTTATCGCATTTTATCTAAAAATATTGGCTTAAAAATTTCCTGAATCTGTTTCGTATCTGGCGCAGTTTTGTGGATCCGACCTATTCAAATTTAGGCTCCAGATTCAGAACCGAAGGACGATATTACTATAGGAATTCTCACTTTCTATCGCTAAAGGCAGAAATTTTGAGAATTTTGGCGGCTATGGGCAAAAAAGGCGCGCCAAAGGAGAAAAACACGCCAAACGCCAAAAATTAGCCAGGAAGTGATATATTTCCACATAATTTTAAACGCTGTATTCCAAAAACAAATTAGTTTTTAGTTGCTCCATACTTCCGCAAGTCTGAAGAAGATACTCGGACAAATATTGTAATTCCAGCAGGAAGGACATTAAAACTTTCATGTAAATAAATTTTTTAAAATATTCTTTAAAAATTTATTCAAAAAAAGGTAAAGCAGGAGGTCAACCAGAACCTCAAGTAGTGTGGAGAAAAGGAAATGAAGAAATACTTAGAGAATCGGAAAGCAAAACAGGTTCATTGTATCAATTGCGAAAGTGGAGTTTAGAGTTGGAAGATGCTGCTGAGGCAAGAAAATTTTAAGAGATTTTTTGGATGCTAGCAGATTTCTGGCAGATTATTAACGATTAATTAATTATTTATTTTGTAGGTGGACAGTGGGGAATATACTTGTGAGGTTTTCAATTCTGCTGGGTCTATTCTGCGTCGATTTCATGTTGAAGTATACATATTAAAAGTTTTTACTCTTAACTATCGAATTTTTAGTGAAAATAACTGGAATAATTTAATCATTCCAACTTAATTTTATTGTCTATGACTAAATTATAAATTTAAAAATTTTGTTTTTTAAATAATCCCTTTAATAGGTTCAAGATAGAATACGTGCTCGACCTATTCTTGTACCCAATGTTCTTCAAAATAGAACAGTTGATGTTAACGGAACAGTTAATTTTACATGTCAGGTAGTTTACAATACAGAGAAAATATTTTTCAAATTAAAAAAATTTTTTTAAACATTTTTAAAAATATTTTTAAAATTCTTGGAAAATTGTTTAAAACATTTTCAATTTATGTAAAATTCTCAAAAAGAAAAAATAATAAGCTAGAAATGAGAGAAAATACCGTATAACAGTAGCTCAGTGCGCGCTCAATGAAAACGAGCGTTTAAAGAGCTACTATTATTTTAATTAAAAATTCCAAAAATTTTCAAAAAAAAATCTTTCTCTAAATAGGTCATTTCTGATTTGGTCCCTCACGTTATTTGGATTAAATTAATTAAACAACCAGAAAATGGCTCTTTTTTAATTTGGGATGAAAAAGAACAACGAGAAACTTTAAATTTTGTTGATATGACAACATTAAAAAACAGAGTAAGAATATTTCACGACAAAAGAAGTAATAGATACACTATGGAATTGAGGAATGTTTCTATGTCAGATCAAGGGTTGTATTCTTGTGTGGTTGGAAATACTCTTGGATTGGTAGGGGATTTTTTTGATTTTGTTTTGTGTTAAAGACGGGTTCTGAAACTTAATCTTCAGAATTGCAATACGCTATCGAATCCCTAATTTCAGAAACTTTCTAAAATCAACTTTTAATTAGACCTGGACCGAGACGAGATCTCGATTGAAAATTTCGGTTATCGAGATCGAGAATTTTTCGAGATTTAGATCTCGATTCTTGTACGACACTCTCAGTCAAGTCTCTACTTTTAATCCTATTGAGAAAAAATGGCAATTGTTTTTTATCTTTTCCACTCACCATTTTGTGACTTTCAAAATTGTTACGAAGAATAATATGTTAAAAATTTTCAATAATTTTTTTTCAAAAAACAGTCAATGGGCAATGCAACATTAACAGTCAATGAATTTCGTTCTTTAACATTACCAACAGAAGTTCCAACACCTTGGCCTTTGTCTTATACAGTTTTATTAATTCTTTCATTTTTATTGTTATGTGCATTTATTGCTTTGTGTTTATTATATTTATTTTTCTCTCAAAAATTTTCGGCAAAAAATAGAGTGCAAAATTTGGATAAAATGTCTGTACGGAAAAAGGTAAAAAAATTAATATTTTAATGTTGCCTGAAACAAAATTTCTGGAGGATAAGAAAATCCCAAATAACAGTAGCTCATTGCGCAATCGGTGAAAATGAGCGTTTAAAAAGCTACTAAATAGACAAATAAATATATGGAAGAATAAAGATTTTTGAAAAAATTTTGTAAAAATATTTTTTGAAATTTTCATTCAAGTCCAATCCTCTTTAATTTCATTCAAAAACTAAAATCTAGATTAGTCAGAATATAACTAAAAGTCTGGCAAAGTAGCGAATAAAAGTAGCTCTTTGCACGCTCGGTAAATGCGAGTTTCTAAAAAGCTACTTAACTAAAAGCATGGAAAAGGCTTAATTTTTCTCTCAAATCTTTTATAAAAATTTAAAAATTAATTTATAAAATTTAAAAGGTAGTAATAACTCGAAAACCTCAACGTGAAGGAGAGCATTGGTCTGATCTAGCATCAACTTATTCCATTACTGTAGAGCCTGTTCCGGTACTTAGACAACATGGAGGACGGGGGACTAAAGCTACTCCTGCAGGAACAAGCGGGACAGGGGATACAGTAAGTTGAAGGGGGGGGGGTCTGTTTGGAAATAGGAAATTTTCGAAATCTGTATCCTACAAAAAATTGGGAATTCAGATAAAATTTTTTGTTCAAAAGCTAGTTTAAAAAATTTGAAATAAATAATAAAATAGTTAATATTAAGTAAAAATTAATTTTTTTCAAAGGTTCCTTTAATGGATTCTACACAACAATTATTACAAGGGAATATATTAGAATCTTCTCTTTTGTCTGATTATGAAGTCCCAACAGATTCGACTTGGGAAATTGAAAGAAATAGATTACAATATGTTGATATTTTGGGGGAAGGGGCTTTTGGGGAGGTTTGGCAAGCTTTGTTACAGCCAAAGAAAATTAATGAAGATAAGGAAGCGAAGGAAAATAAACAAGAATTAAACAAAGAAATTAATCAAATAGAGCCGGTAAATTGTTAAAAATTAAGAAAAAAATTTTTTAGGGAGGGTTTGTATGGGGTAGTGATGTTCGGGAGAAGAAAAAACTCGGGAATCGGGAAACGGGAGTCGGGTCGGGAAATGACCTCGGGAGTCGGGAGCGGGAGTCGGGAATTTACAACAAAAAAATTTTTGGCGTTTTCGGCGCCAAAAATACCAATTTTTTGCTATGCAGGCGAAAATTTTGAGAATTCTGGAAGGTCAGGAAGCCAGACATCTAACCTCCTGGATACGCTATTGATGTTATGATCACTCTCGACAATCTAAAATCCTTTGTCCGCGCCGCAGTCAAAAATTTTCTTAAGTCGAAGGCTAAGAACCAGACTTCGTCCTTTATTTTTGGGAATTTCTAAGGTCGTAGGCCAAAAAATCCACTTTTTCTGCGCCGCAGGCGAAAATTTATAGAATTTAAGAAACTTCATCGAGGGAATCTTGTCAAAAATATACCCCCAAGAACTAGTTCCAGAACTAGTTCCAAGCTAGTTCCAGGCATTTACTAGTTCCGTAGTTCTAGTTCCAAACTAGTTCCAGATAATCGTTAGTTCCGTAGTTCTAGTTCTGGAACTAGAACTAGAACTAATTAGTTCCGGAACTGGAACTGGAACTTTGCCCATCACTGCTAAGAAGTCAGATATTTTTCATTTTCTGCGCCGCAGGCGAAAATTTTTGAAAATTCATGACTAACTTAATATTTCTGGAATTTTTTGACGTTTATAGTATTGAAAAAAATAACTTGAAAATTTTAAAATCAAAATCAATGTTAAAACCATTCATTTTTGGGTGGAAAAATTATTTAAAAAGATTTACCAGCCCTGGATTCGAACCCAGCCTTAACAAAACAACAGAAGTCACTCAACTTAACCACTCAACCACGTCTCAACAATAGTTATATTGGAAAAAATTTAAATATTTTATTTTTCTTTTCTCTTTTTTTATTTTTTTTCTTTATTTTTTCTTTTCAAAAATAAAATTTTATGAGAAAAAGCCATTCTTAGGGGTGTAAAAATTTCCCGACTTGGTCGGGAATTGGCATCGGGAGTCGGGGTCGGGATCGGGAGGCCAAAAACTCGGGAAATTTCCCGAGTCGGGTGTCGGGAGTCGGGATACCCGAACATCACTAGTATGGGGGTGTTGTCGTCCTAAATTGTCTCTCGTCCTAAAATGTTAGAACATTCTAGGAAAAAGCCCCTGCTAAATAAAACCAGCTAAAAGTCAATCAACTTAACCATACGCTTCTATTGGAATAAGTCTCGTTTTCAGAGACTAAAAACCCAAGATCGAGACGCTCAAAAAACCGGAAATTTCACGATTCGAGACACGAAATCTGGAATCTCGAGCTGCACTAATTTATACTCAGATTAATTAACGGATTATAAATTGTTACTTATATTTTTTCTAAAAATTTTTTTCGAATAATTCTCACTCATTAAAGGTACCTGTTGCTGTTAAAAGATTAAAGTCGGCAGCTCAAGAGCGTGAATTAATTATTCTGGCAAGTATTTTTCTATTTTAAAAATTTAAACAAAAAAAAATATTAAAATCTCTTTATCAGATCACTATCTTTCCCATTAAGTTTTTAGTTTAGAACTAAATTAAAAAAAAATTCTTTCCCAGGTCTCAGAAATGCAAATACTCAAAACCATCGGTCACCATCCAAACATCCTTCGACTTATTGGGTGTTGTACAGGTTTAGGCCCTCTACTGGTAATTCTAGAACTTTGCGAACATGGAAATTTGAGGGATTTTATGCGAAGACACAGACCTAAAGAACAACAAAAATTAAAAGAGGAGGAGGAAGAGAAGGAAGAAAAAGTGGAGGAAGAAGTGGTGGAATTGGAGGATGATGGACTTGGGGTTGGGGGAATGTATCAGGTTGGAAATTTAATAAATCAATTAGAGTTGGAGGCCCGATCTGGCACGGTACGAAGGATCGAGTCGGGCCCGTTAAAAATGAAGCCCGAAAAAGACTCGGTCGGGCCTGCCCGATAAGGATGACCTGAACGTCGGTCCGACTCGAAAACCCCAACTCTAGAATTAATGTTTATAGAAAGTCGTTAATTAATATTGTATTAAAAAACGGTCAGATCGTGTACTCAATTAATATAAAATAAACTCGATAAGTCCTTTTATGTTTTATACGGGTGGCTTTAATCTGCTGAAAATAAGAACAAAGGGATTAGAGGACAATTAAAGGACAATATATAAACTTAACAAAAATGAGAGAAACTAATATCCATAAATTTCTAATGTAAAAATTTTTTAAAGAACGTCTCAATAGTAGACACCACAGGGGGTGACCACCAATCAACACATTTACAACAACCAGAAAAGCAACTAACATTAAAAGATTTGGTTCAGTTTGCAACTGAAATAGCTAGAGGAATGGAATTTTTGGCGAGTAAAAAAGTAAAGATTTTTTTTGAAAAATTAAAAAGAAAAATTTTTTAAAGATAATACATAGAGATTTGGCTGCCAGAAATGTTTTGGGTAAAAAATTAAATTTTTTGGAATTTTTTTTTAAATTTTTATTTTAAAGTTGCTAGTGATTTGACAATGAAAATATCAGATTTTGGATTGTCTAGAAATGTGTTTTATCACGATTATTATAGAAAGAGGGGGGCTGGCAGATTGCCTATGTAAGTAAAACTTTTTTCAAAAATAATGGTATTCGGGAAATAACTTTTCTGGTATTATGATAGACTGACAAACGTTAATAGAGTAATTCACTGATAAAGAAATGGTTAAGACTAGTTGATAATTTGTCAATTCTTTGATTGACATACAAAAATAACAACATGGGCAAAATGTGCAACCTACGCTAACAGAAAGACCATATAACTTTAATAAAATTTTAAATTAAATAGAATATATTAAGCAAAATTGTTCACGTTTCTCTACTATTTTTACCCTTCCATTTAAGTAACCTTTCTAATTTGATAAATTTATAGAAAAATTTTTTACAAAAATTCTTATAATAGAATAAGATGTCCTAAATTTAAAAAATTTTTCAAAAATATTTTCCTCATTAAGAAAATGGATGGCACCTGAAGCTCTCGAAGCCAATGTTTACACAGTAAATAGCGATGTTTGGTCTTATGGTGGGAAATCAAATGTCTTTTCTAATTAAATTTTGTTTTTGAAGGTATTTTGCTTTGGGAGATCATGACACTTGGAGTAAGTTGAAAAGAGTCTAAATTTTAAGGAAAATTCAAAAAAATATTTTTAGGGAACTCCATACCCTTCTATTGCAATGCCCCAACTTTACAATCTCTTAAAAGAGGGATATAGAATGGAAGCACCTCATAATTGTCCTGACGAGGTAAATTTGGAATAATAAATGGGGGAAATGTCTAAAGATATTCAAACAAATAATTAAAGACAATGATGTTTTCGGAGATAGATTATTTGCCTTTGAGGGCAAATGTCACCCATATAATCACGATTTTGTGATTAAATCTGTGTTTGGATTTTTACTTTTCCAATTTTAAAATTTCAGTCAAAGTCTAATAGTTCTATCCATTCAAACATTTTTCTTACTTTTCCAAACAGATTTATGGTGTAATGGTCAGTTGTTGGCAAGAAAGGCCCGAAGCCCGTCCAGCATTCCAAACTATTGGAGATTATTTTGAATGGATAATAAAAGAGTCTGAAAAGACTGCTGATATTTCGGTAAAGAGAATTTGTAAAGGAAAAAGAATTTTTAGAAAAAATTCAGAGAAGTGAAACAGAAAATGGAGGGGAAACAACAGATGAGGGGCCCTATGCAGTAATTCCTGAAGGTAGTCAGGAAGACAGAAAAGGGCCTGGTGGGGGTGGGAATAATGGAAATGGATTTACTGGAATGAGGATTGGAAATGGGAAAGAGAAAAGTATGTCTAGGCCAATGTCTGCTCCAGGGCTTACGAGTTTTGAGGTGAGAAGGACATATTTTGGATTTTTGGGTTGTCAGCCAGATTAATGATTGGGCTAACTTTATTTGTCAAATCGGCCTTTAAAAATTTATATTTCTCCAGTCATTTTCCCAAGAGGGCATAATAGCCTCTACAACAACAGTCCTAACATGTTGTGAATCTTCTGATAATGAAAGTACAAACAACACAAACAGTAGCAGTACATTAAATGCTACTCGAAGGGATGTCATCCAAATAAATACAGACAATAAATCAGAAAGGAGAAGGTCCTTATTGGAACAATTAAAAAAAGTTGTTTGGACAGGAAGTAATGCCAGTAATAATGAAAATAAATTAATTGAAGTAGAAGATGAGAAGGAAATACAAGAACAAATTAGAAGGAGAAGAGGACAGTTACAACAACAGGAGGGTATTGAAATTAGTGATGAAGCTATTTATAATAATGTAAATTTTGTTTGTTTTTTTTTGAAAGTGAGAGGGAAATTGAAAGGGAAATAGGTCTGAAGAATGTTGAAATTTGTAAAAAAAGATTTTAGGAAAGTTTTCTAAGGAAAAAGAATAGGACATTCTCTTAAATTTTGCCGAGTAGCTTGTTAAACGCTCGTAATTACCGAGCGCGCAAAGAGCTCTAGGATTGACAGTCATAAAAATTACGACTACGAATGAAGGTGGGAGAATAATTTAAGACGACTGAAATATACCTAGTATATAAATAAAAATTGCTTAAGAGTTCCCTTTGAATATAGTAAAACATCAAAATTTTTAATTCCAATTTTCCAGTTCCAACCAGTCTCAAATTTCTACGCAAACACGCCAACTCAGAGCTTGATGTTTCAGCCTTGTTCATCTACAGCAACATTAGATATAGTACAACCAATTAATGAACAATCAAAACAAAATCCTTTACTTCAACAACCTCCACCCCCTCCACCGCCTTCACATACATTACCTCCGACATCCAATCGACCAAAAAAGAAGTCGAGTGCTTCGGAACATGGATTAAGAATACGTGGGGTTTTCCATGGTAATCCTCAAAGAAATAATAGAAAAATACGGGCGAAAATAATACTCCAACTTTATACATAAAAAATAAATTCCCGATTTCGAGAATCGAGTAGGCAAGACCCTTGAATAACCCTAAAATAATACTTTAGAATTAAGTGGAACTGATTGCTGATAGGATTACAAATTCCATCGAATTTCGAGTCGATTTTATTGACAAATTTTGATAGAATTTGCAAGCTATATTCGAATTTTCGATCTTTTGGAAATTGTTGGATCGAGTATCTTTCGAAACAATGCCTTTCTATTGAGGATATCCATATAGAGATTTATGTTCATATTATCTATAAATTCTAGAATTTTCCTCATAATTAAGAAGCTACCTAAACCTTCCATAGGTTTAATGGGGATTGTATGTCTTTTTTGAGCGGAGGTTGCTAACAGAGTTGCTAACAGTTGTTAACAGTTCCACCTTCCGCTTTTAAAAATTCCTGGTTGCCACCATTACTAAAACCGAGGCTTAAAAACGGTATTGGTTATGGTTCCGGAAGCTTTCGAACTATCCGTAGCAGAGCCAAGGAAAACGTTCTGAGCCTTCTTTATGAATTATAATACTTTAAAGGAAGTCAACAATCCTCTACTCAATGCCTAATAAGAGGTTCATCTTCTTCAACTTCTTTCGGTCAATCCCCTCCATTAGACAACAAAATTCCAAAAAAAGTTTTGGTAGACTGGAGATCTTGTTCAATAGATTCTTCGAGTTCTGGACGAGGAGGGTCTTCTGCAATGTCTAGTGCCGATGCTCTTTTAAATGGAAATGAGGAAGAAGAAGAAGGAGAAGAGAAGGGAGGAGATGGAAAAAGGGAAGAATTATTAATTGGAAATAAAACATTGGAATATGTTAGTATTATACCTATTGGACAATTCCCTGCATAAAATTTTTTTGAATTTTATGTTTCTGTAATCAGTGTTTAATAGGCTATAAGAAACTGTGACTGTAAGTGGAGTTCGGATTTTAGTCATAACTTTTTGTTTCATCAATAAATATTACTAAAGTTTTGTATGATTCGAAAGGTCTCTAACTGCGGCAACTTTTTGGACTGTCACATCTGTGTATTTTACAAAAATAAGTGATAAACGACGCCACAAAAGCAGAAAAATTCTGATAAAATCAGTCCAAAGATAAAAAGAAAATCATGAAGGCTACGGTTATACTCTGAATCGACTGCACTGAAATGACCTTACTTGTTTTGTCTAATTCTTTACTACTCTCTTCAATTTAGTTTTCTCTTGTATAAAACTGCAAATTTTCTGATTTTAAATAAAAATTTTTTTACGATTTTTTTTTGTTTTTGGTTTATCAAAATTAAAATGCTTTCTCTGCCAATTGAAGTTCAATTGGATGTGTTGAAATGTCTTAATTTCAACCAATTATTCTCTGTCAAACAAACCAATTTTTATTTTTACAATTTTATCAGTGGACATGAAGTAGTATTGGCTGGAATGAAATTCTCTAACTTTTTATTGGTAAACTTTAATTTTATTTAATCTTCCTTATTGAATATGAAAAGTAGAGAGCGGGCTGGATCTGGATCCAGAGTCCAGATCATGCCATTTTTCAGCGTTCCTTTTTCCTTGACTCAAGGTCAAGAATCTGGTCAAGGTCCTTACTTAAAATCAAGGACAAGGTTTTTTGAAAATCTCGCCCTCTAATGGAAAGAAACGAGAGTTAAAAAAAGTTAAACAAAAAAATAAGCAGATCGGAGAGCTGAGTCGAATGACTTAGAGAAGTTATATCTTTTGATAAGTGTCTCTCCATATTCCATAGTTTTTAATCCTTAATTTCAGACAAACGATATTCGGCGATTAAAGTCGTATAAATTTATTGAACCTCATTCTGGATTATTTGAATTTATTTTAACTGATCAACTTAAAAATAAGGTTAAAAATTAATTTTTCATTAAATTATATATTTATTCTTTTCAGTGGCAATCAGCAATAAATGAATCAATTCCGTTATTTTTAAATGAATTTGGATCTGGCTTGGACTTTTTTATTTGTATAGTTACAGGTGGACAAATCTTTCTTTCATTGCTTCATGAGCTGCTTCTTAAAATCCTTTAATCATTCTCTAAAAAACTTTCCTTTTCAGAGGGAGGGGCAGTACACAGAGAGGGGCAATACACAAACACAGGGGCAATACACATTCTCCGGGATTGCCCAAATTTTTCTTTTTTTGCTTTATTAAAGCCTCATAATTTCCCGAAAAACTCCTATCAAGAGGGAGGGAGGGGGCAATACACATTTCTCAACTAGATTCTTATTTTTTAAATTTTAATTTAGACTATCAACTCTTTCTATTTATCTTTTTTATATTTTTAGTAGACAACAAAAAATACATTTTAAAATTGCCAAAATTTCCAAAAAATGTTGAAGAAATAATTATTATTCGTTGCTGGTTGGAACAATTATTTAAATGTGCCTTTGAAAGTGCCTGTTTTAATAAATGTGTTTTTAATCCAGAAATGATTAATATTTTATTTGACAATAACTCTCTTCATTTCCACATTCAACAACCACAATTATTTCCTTCTTTGGGAATTTCTGGAAATATTTTGAATTTGGCTTTAAATAATTTTAAAAATACGGAGAGGCTTACAATTGATTTCCATTTTGTTGAGAATACAGAAAGATACACAAATATTTTGTTTAATATTTTAATTAATGGGGGCGAGAAATTCCCACAAATTTGTTTAAAAAGTTTTAAGTTGACGGATCTTTTTGATTTAATTTTAAAAGTAAGTTGGGGGTAATAGTTTGGAAGTCGCCCCCTTGGGATCTTTCAACCTTGGGATCTTTCAACCAAGCTCGACGAGCTCTTTCGAATGATATATAAGATTATTTATCAAACAAAAAAGGCTCAAAATGGTCAGGGAAACGGGAAAAGGGGGAGGGGCGACTTCCAAACTATTACCATGTATTCTCTAAATAAGAGTTAAAAATAAATTTAAATTTTTAGTATATAACAACATCGAAAGAAAACTTTTCAAAAATTGTGCCTGTTATTATTTTTGACCGTATTTCATTTACAAATTTTAAATTAAATAATCGAGCAGAAAATGTTGAAATTAAAGAATTAAATATTCCTGTAGTCAGATATACAAATTATCAAATTACAAATATTCACAATCCAAAGGAGAAATTTTAATTTTGCAATAAAGAATGGAATGGATCTGTTGTTTACATTAAAATCAAAAAATTGAAGATTAGAATTTGAGAGAGGGAAAAAGGGAAAATTTTAGTTGATTTATTTGATAAAAAATATTTTAAAAAGTTATTGTTTTTCATCGACTTTAGATTAAATTGTTTTTGTGTTTTTATTGAATTTCTTTTATATGTAGAAACGAGGTGGGTCGGAACAGTTAGAGGTGTCGGAAATCAAAATTTTTTCGGAAATCGAAGGAAAAAAACGTCGGAAGTCGGATTTCCGACCCACCTCTGATAGAAAGGAGGGGATAACTCTGGGTGAGTAGAGCTTCAGGTAATACATACATTGGCTGACCCCCCCCCCCTCTTCCTCTCTCTAAAAACTAAGGAAAAATACGAGTAAATACTAGAGTTCAGCGGTATCGGGATTTAGAGAAAAACCCGGGATCGGGATTTAGGAATAGTCATCCCGATCCCGGATCCCGACACGGGATCGGGATTAGCCGAAATCGGGATCGGGATTTGGACTGGAGATCCCGATCCCGATCCCGAATCGGGACCGGGATTGAAAAATCGGGATCGGGATTTACTAAAAAATTTTTTTAAAAATTTTTATTTTCTTCACATACGACTCAGTATAATTCTAAAATTGCCGCTGCGGTGCTGAAATATAGAGTTTAAGTCTCATAAACACATAATTTACTTTCCGGTTGGGGATTATGGGGAGATAAGGGGATTAAGGGAGATAATTTAGGGGATTAGAGGAGATAAGGTAATGGGGGGGGGGGGATAAATGGGATTGGGCTTCTATTTTAAGCGCCGTAGGCTAAAATTTTGAAAAATTTGGAAGGCCAAGGTGCCAGATTTCCTCCCTTTTAAGCGTCGCAGGCAACATTTTTTAATTTTGGAAGGCCAAGGGCATTCAAGTCTAACGATTAAGTGCGTTACGCTAAAACTTGGACGATTAAGAACTGACATTAAGGTATTAAGTGATATATTCATTTAGCAATATCTCTTAAGCCCTCGATTTCTCTTCAAATCTAACTCAATCCCTGTAAATCCACCGATACTCCTCTCAATCCCTCTTGATCCCTCGATATCACACCAAATCACTCAATATTTCATTAGAGTTGTAAAGACAGCTTTGTTCATTTTTGCGGCGCCGCAGACGAAAATTTTGAGATTTTGGATGTCAACATGCCAAATTTTTTCCATTTTCTGCGCCGCAGGCGAAAATTTTTCTTACTTTCATGCCTCCCCTCTTTTGTTAACTTTATTTCACAGACTTCTAGTCAATTTATAAAGTCGGGATTTGCATCGGGATCTGATGCACATCCCGATCCCGATCCCGGATCCCGGCTCGGGATTGAGAATGACCGGGATCGGGATCGGGATATTTATTTCGGGACCGGGATCAGAAAAATCGGGATCGGGATTCGAAAAACCCGGGATAATCCCGCCCGATCCCGACCGGGATCCCGATCCCGCTGAACTCTAGTAAATACATAAAAGCATTTAAGTAAATGTGAACACAACATAGCTAAAAATAAAAATTTCGAAACATAACTTTCCCCTTTCTCTAACCAAAATTCTCTCCCCTTTATCGTCTGTCAATAAGGCCGACCCGCAGTTGCTTGAGAAAGGACTTTCCTGCTTACCTGCCAGACAGAAAAGTTTTGTTTTTCAATTTTAGATATTCGATTAATTTAAAATTAAAATGTTTTCTTTATCACCCGAAGTTCAACTTGATATATTAAAATATCTTAATTTCAACCAATTATTCTCTGTTAAACAAACAAATTTTTACTTTTCCAATTTAATTAATAAATATGAGGGGGAATTGGCAAGAATGGAATTTAATTAAACTCTCAATAGTA